TACATTAGAGAATATGACAAGAGGAGCAAGAAAATCACATGAAATCCGGCTTGAAGGCTGTACAAGAAATTAATTAAAGATAAAACTTAAAAGTGACAGAGGTAATTTTCCTTAGACGCTACCTTTTAGGAGTGAAAAATTGGTGGCTTGGTGCTGGTAGAGGGCAACTCAGTAAAATCTCACTTTACAATTGCTCAGTATTTGGGATCAAGACGATCCTACATGAAATGCTCCTTAGAAAACACTAACAGACCAATATAAATGAAGATATTACTTAGACTGTGGCAGGGGGAGCAAACTGTAAAAAGACATTAATAGCGATTTTTACAAGACATAAGAAAAGAATTTGAAAACGTCTGAACTACCTGTACTTACCATACGTAATGACTCGATTTAGCGCCCGGGGCGCTTATTTACTTTTGCTAACCTCAAGGGAGGGTGCCTATTCGAGAAGGGGCCCTTATTCGGGACAGGAAATGTTCAAAACAAAACATTAATATGGTATTTATTAAAAAAAGGAACAATAACAGAGCTGTAAGAGCAACAAATATATGGTGAATATTCATGCACAGTTTACGTGAACGAACTTTAATCTATTTCAACGTCAATACAGATCATTTGTTTGAAGGAATTATAAACTCACATGGACATAATAGTTGAGAAACTCAGACGAAGACCACTGTTTTTCTAGTTAGATGTGTGAGCAATTGAGGAAGATGAACCTTAATTTGTTGACACGTACTCTGACGGCACTGTTATATATAATATTAGAATAGAGACGCTCATTGGAATAGGGGCGCTTATCAATAAAAACACATTCGAAGGGGAGCACTTATTCAAAAAGGAGCGCTTATTGGAGGGAGGGGCCTAGATCGACTCATAACGGTATTCAAACAGTTGACAATTCTTATATGACTTCAGTGAACTAGTATTTATTTAATAGTAATTTAATTTTTAAGAAATCCAGACTATTTTAATAAAAGCTTGCTAATAGTAAGATTCCTGAGACTAGCATCTTCCATAACCTGATTGCATAATTATACTGTACCGTGATTCATAATGTCCAATCTCAATTTCAGGCTCTATCTTCTTTGCCTCAGAGAGAGCCTGGGATCATGGTTAGATAATGTCTGTGGTAGACTCTTAATATAAATGGCGCGCAATATTTCTATAATAATACTTATAATAAATATGCATCCTAAGCCTCAGATTCATGTGAAAAATCCTTTGTCTGGAAACATGAGTAGAGGCTCAGGATGTATGAAGTATTGTTATTCAAATTTAGAAAATAGCCCTATGTAAATTAGATTATGAGCTCAAGATTTCTATCACGCATAGAAATTGAGAGTGAGTAATCTAATTGTTTTAGTATAAATCTACTGGTCATTCAAAACTTTATCTAAATCCTCTTCACAGACACTTCGAAAACGCCAAGAGGCGGCCATTATTTTGTTAACAAGCGCACACTGCCACGCCACTCACAATCTATCACAGAATAGATAGTGACTAGCGTAGCCAATCAGAGAACGGCATCTGCGATAGAACGCTAGTAGATTTATACTAAAACTTGATAGAAACACAGAACTAGCACAAGCTGTTGATGTAATGTTGTTTTTCTTTCTTTCCTCGCTGTACTTTCTAAAAGAAATAGAAAACATGTTCTCCATGTTTCCATCGAGTTAAGGTGGCTCAAACCAGTTTCCAGCACATAAATTTTGTAAAAATATTGAAGATCCGATAGCAGGATTCATTCCGATACTGGATCACCGATCCGATCATTCCGATTCAGATCCGATACTGGCTGTTGAAAACTCACAACTTTAAACAATTTTACCAGAGAACGTTTTTTACCTCTTTTACAACTTAAATTTTGATGGGTCATTAAGGTTCAAAAAGACTCTGTACATAGGGTTCAGAGTCACCTTAAATTTTCATAAATTTTTTAATCAGTCCGACTGATTAGATGAGAATGAAAACTCCATGTTAAGGCACCCACTCTGGCTCCTTGAACAAAACTTTAGTCGCCCGCACTCGTAACTTAGGCGCCTCAGGTGACTGGGTGCCCGTTAGGCGGCAGCCTTGCCCTATGCACAGAATTTTTTTAAACTTTCCTAAAAGTTCAAAATTTGATAATATAAAAAAATTCACTGTGCCGTTTTTGAATAACAAGCCCCTAAAGCTGTAATTAAGGGTGTTTTTAGCAGGTCATACTGTTGCTATGGTAACCTATTATGTCACGAAAATGATAACAACGTGTTCACCAATGATTGGGCAGTTTTTTGAAACCATAAATGTAGCATCAAGTGATAACAAGTGGTTATAACAACCCATCAAAATCTAAGTGCTGGAAACTGTTCTGAGCCATCTTAATAAGAAAGACTCGTGAAAGTTTTGGAGATCTCAAAAAAGCCATGGAAACACTTGCCTGTCGGCTCATGATCCCACAGCATTTTTCATTCTCCCGAATTTCCACTCGTATTTCTATAACTCGATCGAAACATGGTACACCTTTTCTTTTTTTTCATTAGGCGCCATTTATGCAAAGGGTCTATTAGTGTGGAAGGATAAGTTTACCTTAGAAACCAGTGTCCATAGCTCTGCCATTTTGTTTTTATCAGCATTCTAACAACTGGATGTTGCAAGGCCTCCTGAAAATAAAAGCAAATGGAACAAAAAACAATCAGAAAACTTTTTGGCTAAAATCTCAGATATGGGTGTGTCAAGAACACACCCAAAAGCCTTAATACCATTTTGCCTTGGCTGATTTGCAGACTGATACTGCTTTCACACCTCAGAAAGAATGTAGCGTTTGTGTGGTCACATTTGTCCAGGTTCAGAAATTTCCAATGTGGTGAATTTGTAATTTTAAAGAACTTTTTGTCAACTGCAAGGTCTTTCCATAGACAAAATCTTGAGTAGTAAATATTATCACATATTAGAAAACAGTCCTAAGAAAACATGCACGCTGATTGGGGAAAAATCGTGTCTATAACTTGATAGAAACACAGAACTAGCATAAGCTGTTGACGTAATGATGGCGCGAGCAAAGAGAATTTACATTTCGATAATCAAAGTTAACAAATTGTTTTCCTTTTTTCGTCGCGGTGGTTTCTAAAAGAAATAGAGAACATGTCCTCCATGTTTCTATGGAGTTATAGAAACACTTGTGAAAGTTTGGGACAACACTAAAAAGCTGTGGAAACACTCGCCTGTGGCTCATGTTCCCACAGCATTTCTCGCTCTCCCAAACTTCCACTCATTTTTCTATAACTCAATAGAAACACAGTACATGTTTTCTATTTCTTAAATAATGAGATAAAGACTTTTACTGTTGCCTCACCTTATTATTGCTTTTAGCAATATAATGTAAACAAGACTTGTCATGCCAGTTAAAATATTCATTATCTGTCAGCTTGTTTCCCTCTGAGGCCATAACTTTAGGAGGTCGGCCTGCCTCATCACCATCCAGGATGTGGTAATAAAGGCGATAATTGAATGGATCATCAGGGATGGTGCTCCATGCACCTTCAATTCCCTCCCTTTCTTCTCGATTGTCGTAGTTGTCTTTGCGCTTCGGTAGGTTAGGCCATTGTGGGTTCACCATCTGGTCTAATATGGCAACTACTGATTTCTGAAAACATTTGCAAATTTACAACACGTCTGACAGTTACTAAATATAGTAAATATTACCACGGTAATGATAAGTCATTAATTAGTAAATGATTTTTGGATGTCCATTTCTACTGCAAATTTTTCTTTTTATTTTATTTTATTTTATTTCATATCCCCTCATGATCACTCTCACCCCTTTCGTCTGGTGAAGGTTAGTCTGATTACACACCCAGGTAATGGTTTTGTTTCCTTTCATCACTTTTTGGCCACATAAAATATATTCTCACCTTCATTTTGGAATTCTCAATTATTGACTTGAAGCTAAAGAAAGATGGCTGAGGTCTTGACATATCACCTGGCCTCCATGAAAACAAACTCTGCAATCTGATAGAAATAAAATATGAACAACGGAGTGGAATCAAAGTACAGTATGATACAAATTTGACATCAGCATTGAAGATTACATCTAAACTCCAGATTGTGTGCTACCCATTGGGGAAATCAGGCATTCAAACTCAAGGTGGGGTCTGTTAGACCCTAAGGGGGTGAATGCCATCTGGCAACTGTGAAGAAAGTAACTCTTACAGTCAGTGTAAAACACAGGGGAGTGCTCATCAGTTATTTTGAAGTGAACCCCTCATAGGTACCAATTATTCTAAAACAACACATTATCTTCTGCCATATATTTTCAGCTAAATATCTTTAAAGGTACCGCAAAAGCTGCTGCTGTGAACCTTTTCAGGCTGAACACCCTAAGAGGTACCAAAACCACTTTAGGTATGGTAAGCACACCATCCTTTTTATACGGGACTCCCCCCTCCTTGCATGTTACCCCCAGTCTGCAATCCACAGTCCACAGCCGGTGTGTTACACTGACCAATAATGCTTAGGGGTAGAAAACTGGACTCAGTCATTACTTTTCATGCCACATCATTCTTATCAAATATGCTGCCACATCATCATTCTCCATTGTCAATGCCAACTCAACTGGTAGTAAACCTCGCTTCT